AGAACCATTGGATCTTTTCTGGGTTTTCTTTCTTCGTACCTACGTTGCCATATTATAAAGATATGTTTTTAACTATATACAGGTTGTTAATTTGTTTATTAGTCGCGGCAAGAGCTTTATGGTTGAAATATGGCAACCTCGGCCCGCTCGACGACGCGACAGGACGAGTCGGCAGAAAACCCTATAAGTGCATGCGTTCTCAATAGGCAGTGTTGCCATTCTGTTCCCCTAAAAGTAACTGTCGAGTTAACAACCTGTATATATAAACGGGATTTGGTTTAAGTATTTAATACTTATTTCCAACTACCGCCTATTACTGCCTTTCCGTTACTCTACACCACACATCATCTCGATTTAGAGCGTCATCAGCTTCTAGATTACGAGATTCCATTGCTTCCTTAACCGTTCCGTTCCAGGATTTTCTAGGTCTACCTCGCTTCCTTCTGCCCTGGGGAGCCCATTGAAAAACTGTTTTAGCTACCTGTTCTCCAGCATACGAAGAACATGTTCACACGACTTTAAGCTGGATTTTTCGATTCGATCTAGTACTGTTTCCTCCGATGCATTTATGATACGCCTGATCTCGATGTTTGTCTTTTTTCCATCCTAGATATACCTGCGCTTCTTCTAAGGTAGTCAGACAACAACTTGGATTTTGCGCCATAGTTTTTCCACTCCACCAATGTTCGTCTAAGTCTCTTTTTAGTTATTGCAGAAAAGTTTCGGTGCCACCAGAGGCTATTAAGACGTCCAATAACTTGTATGCTCTTCTGAATTCGCGTTTGTATTTCTTCTTTGCCCAAACCGTCGTTGTTGATAGTAGCACCCAGATATTTAAATTTGTCTACTTGTTGAATCTGGACGTTATTATCAATGGAGACTTCAAAACAAGCGTTGGAATTGACAGCTAAGTATTCCGTCGTTTTTAGACTAACCCGAAATCCCCATTTCCTGTATTAGGCTTTATGAAGAATACTTCATAAAGCCTCTTAGTCATGAACTCCAGATGGTATGAGTCCTGCGCAATCACGACCTGATCGTCTGCAAAGCTCAGGGTAAATAAAGTAAAGAGTGTATCGTCCCCAATGGGTATTCCCATACCTTGACATCTCCTTTTCCATTCCGTAAGAGCTACTTCGACCTAAGCATTGAAGATCAGAGGAGAAGCTGCATCCTTGTTTCAACCCTTTTGTGGTTTTAATTGGATTGGATAGCCTGATATGTTTTTTTTTAACTAAAAATGCAATTTTTTTTTAAAAATTCCAATTTTTTTTTTGCGAAAAAAACCTAAGCGTGTTTCTGGGGTCGAAATATTCTACCCATAAAAAATATTTGCACGTTTCGTTATGTAAAGGTTAGGTTAGGTTCGCAAAGAAATTTGCTAAAAAACATACAGTTGTTCGCGACACGCTCAGTTCGCCGATTTTTCACGGCATTGACTAGCGAATGTTCGTGTTAGTGTTGCACAAAAGTCTTGAAAAAGTCTTCAAAAAAGAAATTCAAAACAAGACTCTTTCAAAATGTCTTGTCTTGAATTTTAAGACAAGACAAGACGTTAATATGCAAGAAATTTCAAGAGTCTTGCAAGACTTCTTGAATTCAAGATTTCTTGAAAGTTAGAAATGATACATTTTTTTAGTGATAATTAGGTCTTTTTTTTACAACATTTACATATAGTCGTAGTCACAATCATAGTCATAATCATAAAATTTAAACTATCCACTTCTTATACACCTGTTGACATCTACCATGAACTTAGCCTTTAATTATGTTTTACCCAACTTCACTGATATAAAATTGATTATGATTATGAAAATGTCCTATAAACGCACATTAAAATTGCGTTGTGATTATGACAATGATTAAGACCGAGATTAAAACTGTGATTATGATTACGACTTATGCAAATGTTGTATAAACCCGGCATTAATATTAACCAGTGTTTATTTTTTACTATCATAGCCAGTGTTTTAGAGTTGAGAATGAAATAAAATCAAGTCGAGGCAACAAACCGTATATTGGTAATTGGTATTATACACAAAATTATATTGGTATAATGGTATTATAAAAAAAACTAACGGTGGTTGAAACTATTGGTGGGTTCATGGAGCATATTTGCGCTATTTGGTACTACTTTTCATGCACGAAATTGCTCCGCGAACAAAAAGTAGTATGAAATAGCGCAAATAGTACACTCTAGCATGACCCTTCCGTACACCCTGTATCCAAACTTTTCCAACCAAACTTCCATAATAAAATAAATATACCATAAAAAATAAAAGTAACAAATCCTGTTTCGTCAAACGAGCGAGTTGACGTAGTTCGTTTGCGGTCCGTTAAGATTTTTTTTGCTAAAATTAGCATCGTTGTTGTTCATTTTTACATTTTGTATACGACGCTTTTTTTATGAAATAAAACATAGAAATATTATTACCTATTTGTTAGAATGTAAAATTTTTCAAGACAAGAAATTTCAAGAATCTTGCAAGACAAGACAAGACTTTGCCATTCAAGAAATCTGCAAGACAAGACTTTGAAAATTTCTTGTCTTGAATTTCAAGACAAGACAAGAAATTGATTTTCAAGACAAGAATTCTTGTCTTGTGCAACACTAGTTCGTGTTACGAAGTGTTACATTACAGCGCTCGGCTGAAGTCAATCTCCGCCTTTACAGTCAATCAATGAATTCCACTGAAAAACTATTTAAAATAAAACATGAATTGTGATGTCGTTGGAATCGTTGGAAAATATTTTTAACTCCGAATTTCTGGACTCGATTTTAGATAAAATACTTTAGTACCATCGATAATAATCCACAATTGACATTAATTTGTATAAATGTCGTTTAAATTAGCGACACTTATTTGGGACATTTCCATCAAGTGCAGAATTATAATTCTATCGTATAATACCTAAATTAATTGAATCGATAATTCTTGATTAGCCCAATCCTATTCTAGACAATACATAATACATCGCCATTTTCTATCCAACCAATTCTCTGTGATAAATTACGCGACCCATTTGAACTAAATCAATTTTAGCGCTGTTAGAGCTCCAGTTATAAAGCGAACGCCATATTATATACAAATTTTAGTGTGGCGTTCAACGTTCTTGGCCACATGCTGTTACAAATTAACTCTTTCGCCTTCAAGGATGAGTTAACAAGACTGATTAACCGGAGATAACCAGATTCTCGAGAAGAGATCATTAACTCCTACAGTATTGAATATAAGATTCGTTTCGTATAACTAATAAATAATATAATAATATAAAAGCAGATTTTTTAAATCTAAGCTGGTTTCATGTGTACAGGGTGGGTCAAATTCGACGCTTTTAAATGGAAACACCCTTTTCTATAGGGGATAGACAAAAACTAATATCGGTGTCTGGAGCTCAATTTTCATCAAAAAAATGATGGTGAAAACCGCATATCGATATCTGTTACCGTTTCGGAGTTACGGGGTGTTTTTCAAAAATATGCATTTTTAACAAATCGCTGTAACTTTTTTGCTATGGAAAATTTTGTATTTTTATGAAATCATTTCCAAAGCACCTTTTTACGTAGAATTTAATGGTTTAAGTATAATTTTTTTAAAATTAATAATTTAAGAATTATCAACAGAAAATTTGATTTTTTATATGGGACACCCTGTATATTTTTAATTTATTGAAAAGAATTTAAAATTACCTTTCCAAAAATATAACACACTTGATATTTTCCTCGATTCCTCTTCGAGATATAGAGTATATAAAAATTCGCCCGCTTTAAATAAGTAGGCTTTGAACGGCACCGGCTGTAATGCAAAGAAATTCTAGCTATGAGCATCAATTAAAACGAAAATAATATTTGCTATGAGAGATGCAGAATTTTATAACAATTTAAAATATATTTAACCAACATCAACACATTTTAACTATATCTAATAACAATAAAAATAAATAGCAAACCAAGACATGAGATTTTGCTACAGGTGTTTTGTTCGACCGTCTTCTGTTATGGACAGACGGGGCAGTTTTTGAACATTTCTCGCGGAATTCATCAACTCAGTGGGGCTGAAAGTTTCATACACCTTAAAAAAATACTCATAACTGCTAAGTATTTCTAATTCTTGTCTAGATTATACGGAAGAATAAGGAACCTTTATTCTTCCGCAAATATATTCATAGGATTAGATCCATGGGCACTAAGTCAGGCGGCCTCGACGACCAACGGCTGGGATCTTGGTTAGCTATTCAATTATTCTTGAAATTGGCTGCAAAAATTTGCTGATAACTTCAGCGTTCAAAGGCAGTGCATCGTCTTGCTGGAAAAATATGTTTTCGAGTTCCATTAAGGGCATATCATCGATAAGAGGTCCAAAGCCGTCCAAAGCCTACTAGTTAAAAGTGGCGAACTTCAAAAATTCTGTATTTTGAAGGGGATTGTAACAAAATATCAAGTGTACTATATTTTTGGAAAGGTAATTTTAAATTCTTTTCAGATAATTAAAAATATACAGGGTGCCCCAAATAAAAAATAATTTTTTCTGTTGATAACTCTTAAATTATTAATTTAAAAAAATATACTTAAACCATTAAATTCTACGTAAAAAGGTGCTTTGGAAATGTTTTCACAAAAACACAAAATTTTTCATAGCAAAAAAGTTACAGCGATTTGTTAAAAATGCACATGTTTGAAAAACACCTTGTAACTCCGAAACGGTAACAGATATCGATGTGGTTTTCACCATCATGTTTTTGATAAAATCGTAATCTCATAGAGAAAAGGATCTTTCCTTTTAAAAGCGTCCAATTTAACCCACCCTGTACAATAGAGCTGCAGATTTAAGAACTCTTTCATCGTTCTAATGTATACAAAATGGGGCTATACTCGCCGCCTTCCTCCTGGCAAATTTTTATCAAATAAAATATTTTAATAAAAGTAAATCGTAAGACGGCCTTAAAACAAAACAGAGAATTGAATTATCGTCTCCGCTTTACACCAGGCAATAACTTACCGATCAGATGTCCACTATAAATGTGGGACGTATCGACGTCCAGCGGCCCCTGTTCCCCGTGCACCTCCAGTCTATCGCTGAACACGTCCAGGTCGCGCTTCAGCCGCAATCGAAAACGGCGACCGTGCGCCGCAAACGACACGTGCACGCCGTTGTTTGCGGAAGGCGCCGATCGCCGGCAGCGCACATGGGCTTTATGTACATCTTGGGTGTCGTAGGTGAGCGGCTCGTAGTGGCTGATGTATTCGTTTAACCGGTTTGCTGAAAAGAAAAAAGAAAAGTGTAAAGAATTATTGAAAAATTATAACAAAAAAAAATTGGCGCCACGTATATAGCCGCCCATATTAAATATGTTAATAAAAAGTTGGTAGGCAGTTCTTTTAGTTTCAAAGTAAAGGAATTTTCCAATTTTGGCCCGCGGTTATTTCTCCTATCCGCCACCTGGGGTCGCGTCCGATGGGAGTTTGGAGTTCTCCACACGGATTTTCTCAAAAACGGACTACGGAAACACGGAATATCTCAAAAACTGCGACTTTGACTGATTTTGATGTCATTACAAATTTTGTTGCAAATATTATTCCTAATCTTATAATGCATGGTTTTGGAGTAACGATTTTTTAAAATTTTTAACCCCCTCCCATACCCCCTTACCAACCCCCCAACCCCACCAATAACTAATGGCCAGATTCTCGGGTGCCGCAGTATTTTTGTGCATAATTTGGTTAAAATCGGTTTAGCGGTTTTTGAGTTATCGTGTTACAGACGGACAGACACCATGAAAATACACACGCCGGAAAAGTTTAGGGATATTACAATTTTATCCAGCCATCGTCAGTAATTTTATTATTTGCATTTCTGATATAATAAAATTAAAATAAACAAATAGTTTACAGGACGTACTGGAAATAAAAATGCCAAATTTACCGAATTTTTTAAATTTACCTTGATTTTTATTGAACTCAAAAAATACACACGTTTTTTTTATTCTAGACTGTGAATTAAAAAAAAAAGATAAACCCATTTTAACTTAATAAAGGGTATGGCCTCCTCTACTGTTCATTACAGCCCTACATCGTTTCTCCATGCTCCTGATCAGGTTGTCGATCTCTTCTTGAGGTACAGCCTGCCACGCTGCATTCACGGCCCGAACCAGATCCCTACGAGTTTCACGAGGGATACCCATTCTCAAAATTCTTCTTTGGACCGCGTCCCATACGTGCTCGATGGGGTTGAGGTCATGAGATTGTGCCGGCCAGGGTAAGATGTTTAATTGATAAACTCACTTACCACTCTGGCGATATGAGGCCGTGCATTGTCATGCATGAGAATGAAGTTTCTCCCAAAATCATTGGCGTATGGTAACACGACAGGCTCAAGAATTAAATCACGATATGTGATTCCTGTTAGAAACCCTTCAAGAAAAACGAGATCGGTTTTTCGGCCTAACTGGACTCCTCCCCAGACCATAACTGTTCCACCTTGATAAGGGTGCACTTCCTGAACATGATCCAACCGAATAAGATTTCCCGGTTCTCTCCATACCCTAAGCCTTCTCGAATCCGGATGAATTCCAAAGCGTGACTCATCCGTGAAGAGAACATTGGCCTATTGTTCATTCGACCACTGAACATGATCTTGAGCCCACAAATATCGTACCTCTCAAGACAAGACTGTAAGACAACAAACAACAAAAGCAATGAGAGTAGCTAGATGTCTGAACGACACCATATGGAAAAATAAAAGGTGAAAAATAGGTGTCGAGGTCAAGTCAAGAATATACAAGGCTGTCGTCAGACCCATAATGATCTACACAGCAGAAACCAGACCGGATACAGCAAAAACAAAAGGATTCTTGGAAACAGGCGAGATGAAAATCCTCCGCAAAATCACAGATAAGACGCTGCTAGATAGAGAACGAAGCGAATATAAGGCAAACATGCAAGGTGGATACCGTTAATGAATGGGTATTGAGCAAAAGAGACGCCAATGGAACGAACATATAAGCCGAATGGACGAGGGAAGAATAGTAAGGTTAGCTCGAGACAAATCACCACTGGGAAGAAGAAGTACGGGAAGGGCAAGAAAAAGATGGTGTGATAACCTTACCATCGATTGAAAAATTGTAGGCATGATGTGAAGAATGAACAGGCAATCTGCCTATTATAGAGTAGGAAGAAAAAGAAGAAGGAAGATATATCGAGTCGAAAGAGTTCTCAAAGTATATAAAGCCTATATGCACAGAATATCTAGCTACGCAACAGAAGCCTCGTTACATGTATAAAATTGTAGGTAGCAAAAGGAGACAGGCTTTTAAAGCCTGTCTCCAAATCAGATATTTTGATGCGGTAGTTTCGCTACTACATAATAGAGGGCAATAAATTTAAAGGAAAACAGTTTTCTACAAACAAAATTTAAAAGAATTTTGTGCAGTATTGCCATTGTGTAATTCATATCGTAATACTTCCTGATAAAGCCTACCTTCAAATTTGCTACATCATTTAAACATATTAAAATAGATCAGAGCTGTTTTTTTCAATTTGCCATGTTAGTTGGAATTAAATCTTATTAGCTAAATTACAATCACTTCCTGACGTTTGATTGTATAATTGAATCCTGAATTTTCATTGTAATTCGGCGACAATATAATAAGTATTGTTCTACTATTATGATACCACTTCCTGACGTTCGATTGTGTTCATACCAAGTTCATATCGTATAATCGGGAAAAAACGGCGTTAGCGATGGCTATGAAATGAATATCGCTGTCATTTTATATATAAATTTATATGGGAAATGTCATCGATCGTCCTTTTCCAGCCAACTGGACGCCGTTTTTTTCGGTATCATACGGTATTTGATATATACTATTTTTCATGACATTACAATATTATGATACCATGAAGCATATCAAGTGATACCATAATATAGTACCATATTACGATACATGGCGTTCGATTGGGCTTATACTTGATATACTATATCTTGGAGCATATAAAGTGGTACCTTCTATAGTACCATATTTGATGACATAGCAATATTAGGTACATGGCGTTCGATTGGACTTAAACTTGGGATACTACGTATTTTCGGTGACATTGTCATATGATGGTACTATGATGCATATAAAGTGGTACCTTAATATAGTACCATATTACGATACCATTTCCTGGCGTTCGATTGGGCTTAAACTTTGTATACTACGTATTTTCGGTGACATTGTCATATGATGGTACTATGATGTATATAAGGTGGTACCGTAATATAGTACCATATTACGATACCATTTCATAGCGTTCGATTGTTCTTAAATTTGGTATACTACGGATCTTCGGTGACATTGCAATTACATTGCAATATTATGGTACCTTAAAGCATATCAAGTGGTACCATAATATAGTACACTATTATGATATAATTTCCTGGAGTTCGATTGTGCCCAAATTTGGTATACTTGCGTTTCTTTATAAAGATTTGTTTAATTAATAATTTTAATTTATTTTACGAATATTAATTTATTGTTCGATGTCGTGACAGCAACTTTTATGTTGAACTAATATATTATTAATTGTACCTGTGTCACTTTTTAAAATCTACCTAGGTCTATAGAAATAACGTGGCAAACGGAAGAAATTTGTTATTATAGTATTTTTTAGTCAGTTAACATTTTTTGTACTACATTTTAATAAATTATTTCCATTATTATTAAACTTGTATTTCATTACTAACGTTCCAGCATTAATAAATATCACTATCAACGCCCTGTATATTATTAATTTTTAAGGTAATTAAAGGTATTTTCTTAGTTAACATTATAAGGTAGTGTATATTAAAAATGTATATGTTTTGTAATAATATACCTACTTAAAACTATTTTAATAGCCAAAGGAATAATTAATATAAGTGTATCTGACAAGAAAAGAAGAATATAAAGAAACACATACTGCATTATACACAGTAAAAAGAATGGGATGCCAATTCAAGTCTTTTTGAATCTGGCAACTGTGCATATTTAGCCGAGCTACAAGGCAGTCGACGAGCCGTCGATCCAAAACCGAAAGTTCAAAATTTCTAATTATATTCTGATTATGATATTGTCGCGCCATCTAGTATTCTATTTGTGCAATTTTAGCTCTTTCATTTCGAGTATTTTTCTGTTGCGTAGCTAGATATTCTGTGCTATATGGCTAGTGGAAGTTCGTATTCTTTTGTTCGGCTGATAGTTTCTCTTAATAATTATTTATACAAAAATAAATACTTAACCGATAATTTTCTAAAAGAATACATAATCAAACGATGAAAATAAAGTGAATTTATAGATTCCGGATAATAAGAAAGCAATGATGTTAATTTAAAAAACTTGTAAAAAACACAGCAGCCAGTTATCATCGATTCCTTTCAATTATTCAATTTCAATTCTCTCCAGTCAATCTCTTTCCCTTTCCTCCAAAACACACACAAGAGATAAAATCGACAACGAGAAAGGGAGTTTGAATTTCGTTTGGAGCGGTCGCGCTACGCTAGTTTCTTTGTGGGTAACTGTGCCACCTGTTCCATCCCACTGATTTACTGCAATAACGATGTAATTATTGCTGCGAATAATTGCAAACTGTCGCCGTTATTGTTTCTGTTTTATGTCTTTATCTCTTATTCTGCGAGACGGGTGTCTGTAACAACTGTTAATGAATCGTTGGAAATCAAGTAAAAAGATGTAAATGGACCTCGAAGAAAGTGTATCTGCTGTCGTTCGTAGATTTTGTTCGTTTTATGTTTTGAAGTCCGAGATAAAATATACGTTGATTTGGAATATTTTGTTATTAGTGAAAACAGATTAGTAAGAATAAGTCAAAAAAGGAGGTGGAATATTTATAAGTTACTAGCGTGTACCAGCGACTTCGTTCGCGTCGAATTAATCATTTGTAATGGTGATGATAAAGCAAAGCAAGAATTTCCATTAACATACAAACTGGATAAAATTTTCTCACATTTATGTCAGCATGAGAAAAAACAATATGGCGATATTATTATATAACTTGGTAATATTTGAGGGGTAGTTTCATCTCGTTGAAATTTGACTTTCGAAAAATCCGTTGGCCAAAAATAAGCTTTTTACGTCAAGCAGTTTAAGCAGAATCGTGGTTAAGAAATTACCCAACTTTTTGGAACACCCTATATGATTTTTTAAAACATTTCAAAATATGTAAAAAAACCAAATAAATTATGCTTGTCCAAGCGTTTTCCCGAAAGACTAACCGTTTTTTAAA